TAAAGCTGGAAGGTGCGCCCAGGGTGAATATCTTCCGAAGCGTCAAACAAGGCGATTCTCTATCACCCATTCTGTTCAACCTAGTGATGGACCCACTGATGGCCCAACTGGACTTCTCACCAGATGGATTCCAGGTGGATCACGATTATAGAATCGGAGGTCTGGCGTTTGCCGATGAGAATGGGAATGAGAATGAGATGAGAATGAGAGATGACCTAATGATACTTAGCAGCAGCGTTGAAGGGGCTCAACGCGAGCTCGACCAGGTTTCTCAGTACCTGCAGGAGCTCGGCATGGACTTAGCGCCTAGGAAATCTTTGGCTTTCTCCATTAAACCGTTTAGGAGAACTTGGGTGACTGAGAACCCAAGCCTGACTGTGCATGACACAGATATCCCAGCAATTGGGCCAGGTGACCCCTTAAACTATCTCGGGGTCACCTACACCATTGCGGGTGGTATACAAAACAACCACCACGTTGAGCGACTATTGTCAGAGATATGTCGTTCTCTCACGCTCAAGCTCAAACCATTGCAGAAGCTTAAGCTTCTGAAACAATTCTTGATCCCAAAGGTTACATATGCCCTAAGCCTGGGTCATCCATCTCAAAATATCTTGACAAGATTGGATACAGGACTGACAGAGGTGGTCAAGTCCATGTTCCATCTTCATGGTTCCACTACCGACCACCTCATCCATGCGAAGTGCAGAGACGGTGGTCTGGGTGTACCCAGACTCACCAACTCGATACCGGCAACGTACCTTAACAACGGGATCAAAGCGCTTAGAGGTGAGGGCGACCCTCTTTTGTCATTAGACTTGCTGAGATCAATGATCTCGAAGGCCGATTAGCTTGGATGGCTAGAGTTCTAGGCCTAAATTGGCCTCTGACTCTAACGGAATTAGCGGCCTGGAAAAGGGGGCGTAGTAAAACAGAAATAAACAATTGGGCCAGGCTCCAAAGCCAAGGTAAAGGCGTTAAATTGTTCGCCAACAATCCTATAGGGAACGTATGACTTACTCGCCCGGGGCTATTGTCCGCTAGCCGGCACATCAACGCTCTGAAAATGAGGACTAACACCCTTGGGACTAGGGTGGCATGTCGTAGGGCGGATCCCAATATTGACCCGATGTGCCGTCAATGTGGGACCGTACCTGAGTCCCTAGGCCACGTGCTGGATGAATGCCTGTTCGGCAAAAATCAGAGAATACACCGCCACAATGAAGTGGTCAATTTGATTGAGGGCGAATGCCTGAGGAGAAATATGACGGTAGCTAAGGAGCAAACCTTCCGCGTACCTGTCAACGGAGTAATGGTTCTACGCAAACCCGACCTCGTTATAAAGAACGAGTCGGGGGTCTGGATGTTGGACGTCTCTGTCCGACACGAAGACGGTGATAGCCTCTCTGACGGTGCGGCGGATAAGGTTGACAAATACAAAGAACTCCTAACCCACCTACAAGAAGTGTATGGTGTTAAAACTGGGGCGGTGCTACCGGTAATAATCGGTAGCCGGGGATGCTTCCCTAAGGCTACAGCCAATGCTCTAAAGAAGCTAGGTATATACACGAATGGTATGGGTGTCACTATGGCACTCATAGCCATTAGGTCTTCCCTCAGCATAGCTCTACAACATCTGGACTACGTGCGATAAAGGGTGATTCCTGAACGGGTTAATCCCGGAAAGACTTAAATCTGAATATCTCTACGATATGACTGACAGGGTTCACCTGGGTTTACACGTGGTCCCTCATGAGCGTGCTCCATCCCATTGGCCTTAAGCTGTAAGGCGCCCCCCCAGGAGGCTATTTCCTGGAAATAATGTGTATGCACAGTTTTGACACATAACAATAGCCAAATGAGCTCACGGGGACAATCTAGGGGAACGTAACTTTCCGCAGTGTGAGGGCAACGGCTGGGCGCACTCCATCAGCCAATCCCTGTCTCTGAGACCGGAAGGTATGGTTATCTAGAGTGTGGGGGGTTCTCCTGGGACCTCAATTGAGCAAAGGGTGTCGCCACCTTTGGTGGATAGGTTCATCCGGGTGGGACCCACTTCTATTCCTGCCTCCTTTTGGGAAACCCTGATGGCCTGGCAGTGATGTTGGGCTTGATGGGCAAATGAAGTAGATCAGGTGCTGGGTTCAAGCCCGCTGGGGGTGTTCAGGGATCTATCGCCTTGGTCACCTCTGGTTTCCCAGCAACTGGGTAAGGCCTCGATCGGGTAGTGGTGTAAATAGGTGGTTGGGGTTCCCCCATCAGTTTGCTGGTGGTCCCCTTCTTCCTGGCTTTGATGGCGGGTTTTGCTTGTAACGGATTGGATAGGTCCCGAGTGTTGCTTGCACTAAATGTGTCAGGGCATTCCACTATGGTCCTGGGTTTCGTACCTGGGGGAACCCAGGTGAAGTGACGCTTAAACGAGTAGCCGGTATCCCTGGTTAGGATTGAGGGGCAACCCTCTCTCCGAAGGGTTGCTTCGGCAGCCGGTGAGCCTGATGACCTTAAGTCATCCTCCCATGGTGTGCCAAAGGTCGGTGCGTATGCTTCGGCCTACATCATGGGGCCCGGGTATGTTTAATTATAGGTACCGGGTTTGTAGTCAGGGAGCTTCTGGCTCTTATGACAAAACGAAATGGAATGACCCTCTTTAGCCAGTCAGAAGTTTCAGAATTACCACAAGTTACGACAAGAGCACCCTTCTCATGGTAAATTTTTTCAAACTGATGCGGAAGATTGGCGCCGTCATCACAAAACACCAGCTAGCTCCATCAGTTTGTCCTGTATCAGGTCACATTCCTCAGCAGAGAATCTCGCGTCAGGCCACTGGAGCAACTGCCAACTTGTGACCTACAAGTTGGTCTCTGTAGCTGACCACTCCTGCAATGGATGCATCTGCTGATCGATTAGATTTTTTATTTCTCTTATGGGGAGGATTTTGAAAAGACCCAAGGTTTCCATCGGGTCCGATTCTACGCATTGGTGATACGCCAGAACCTTCCCCAGGGGAACCTATGGACTCTCGCTTCCTCTTTCTCCACTCTCTGTTAGGGATCCACGTGCCCTCAGCCTCTTTTTTCACTCTAACAGACAATCTGTACTCAGTTCTGGTCATAGCTGTATAAACAGTCTCAGAGTCGGACGATGCGTCCGCCAGAGACGGTGAATCACCGGCGTTGCTGGTGTCTAGTTGCTTGTTTCGGTCCGCGTCTATCTACTATGACAAAGCTCAAGGAGATCGGTTGACGATTTGGGTAGAGTTCTCACTGTCAAGGAACTTTTCGAGAAGATCTCAGGCGTATCCAGGATCTCCACAGGTTCCGTCTCCATTGTGGTGTTCTGCACAATAACATCATTGTTAGAGGTAAGCTGATTGTTGCCCTCCCCAGAACCCATGGGCTTGTCCCCCAAAAAGGAGGAGTGGGATTCCCCGCTTGAGCAGGTATACTCACCTGGGGTTAGTAATTCTGTTTCTTTACGCTCAGCCATGACTATAACAAGAAAAACAAAAGGTTAGCAGTTTAGCAGCAGAACCGTGACCCACTCACTACACCTGCTAATGTCCGAGACTGGACCCTTTTGGGGTTGGACCCCTCATCGTCTCCAGCTCAGTCCTGTCACAGGTGCACACTTACCTGTAACAGTTCGCAGTTGCATTAGGTATCTGGACCTTGGCCGGATGGGTGATTGTCACCTCCGCCCAAGGCCAGTACTAGAGCAGCCGCTCCCCTACCCTAGGGCTGTCTAGTCACGACACAGCCAGCGCTAGATCTGCTGCCTTCAGCGAGTGCAGAGGCACCCCTAGCAGGCTGTGCATAGCACAGTACGACTTTGCAAGACAAAGTCGACTCACAGCGGTCGTGGACAAGGAGCTGTCAAAGACAGCTCCCCCTCCCTGAGGAGCTTACGCTTACCTCTTGCCTCCATATGTATAATTTATATGGTTAAATAAACAAGCCGAACAATTATAAAGAAAAATAAATTTACAGTTGAATAAAGCCTAGATAACAGCCAAGAAAGTTGATGTTTTGTTCTAAAGTATAAAGGAATAGTACATCTGTGAGTCAACTACTCATTTGATTTAATCATAAATTTAACAAAAATTGTTAGAAATGATTATTATGAACGTACTTTTATAAATGTCTTGAAACCCACTTTTGATTAGTAAAAATGAGAGCAGAACATTATGCGTACAACATTGATTTCTAATTTTAGCCAGAGAGGCGCAAGAGCACCCCCTTGCACCCCCTGCGTGGGCGATGCTTCTTAGTTTACTACTTACTTCTATAATCAACTTTAAATACATAGTCACTTTTAATTCAACAAAATTTGTAAAAATATCATTACCACTAGTCATTTAAAAAAAAAACATTTTATTTAAAAATCATAAGACTGAGATAATCCATCTTAGAGACGTTTGAGTTCAAACAGGAATGCACATTTTTTCTCAACAGTATTTTTGAAGAAGTAAATACCTACAACTTTGTGCAGCAATCTATAAATTTTCTATCGTTTTTATATTGATTAACTATTTATTTATTAATTACACTTTGACTTCCAAAAACTTTAACCCCCTTGAAACCTACTTAAAGGTAATTTAAAAACTATGATAACACATTTCAGAAATTCATATAGCCTATTAATTAAAGTATGTGATAACTAAAAGCTTGTATAAATGTGAAGTTAGTGTAGAGAAAGTTATTAATTTTAAAACAAATCTAAAAATAATATATTCTCATGTACAATAAGTCCAGTTTTACTCTAATTAAACTGGTAACCACTCTTTTAAATAAAGTACCTTGATTTATGGGTTAACAATTTTAAACACAAAATGTAAAATCAATCAACCCAACATAATCTGGATAAGTAAAGAAGAGGAAAGTAAACAAGCAAAAGTAGAAACTCATATGTGAATTAGGTGGTTGAAAATACCTACTGTGGGTAGGGATTGGTGCTACTGAGTGGAAAATTGTGGTCTGTTTGACCTAGACCTGAGCCAGGATTATTGTTATTAGAGGAGTAACAGGAGCAGGACTAGAGGGGACCTGGGGTCAACTCCTGGGAGAGGGGGGGCAAGACCTGGGACTAGACCAGACTGGAGTCAGAGTCAGTGTCACATGGGCTGTTACAATGTCAAGGTCAGTAACCAACTGTTGTTTTCTTTTCCCCTATAAATTGAGAGGCATATTTTTGTTTTTAATATAGTTTAGCTGCTAAATACAAAGCAATTAATTTAGGTTGCAAACTTTAGCATTTTTCTTTGATATACTTTTATTGTTTGTATCCCAGTTAAATAAAGAGTCAATATATTAATAAATGTGTAAAGTATGGATGAGGCTATTAAAGTCTTAACTGTTATTTACAGGCTCCATAAAAATACAATTTAAATGTGTTTTCTTACTTTGACTGCTATTTATTGTTTGTTGTGATAAAAGTGTAGCAAATGTTTTCATGCCAACTGGGGTGAAGAGTATTTATCTTGAGAAATATTAAATTTTGTTTTGTGTTAATGTTGTGTTGAGAGATGTGTGTATTTATAAATTTTAAATGGAACTTATTAACATTTTACACGATTTTATCCATGTTTCGTACAATTTTGGATTTAATTGACAGTTATTTTCAAATGTACTCCCTAACTAATATAATAATATGAAATTGAAACACTTATTTTAATAAAATTTTAAGATAATTGTTTTAACTGGTTGATGGATTATTATCTAAGAAACTGTAGTCTAATTTAAAAAAATCAGTTGCACCCTCAAGCTATTACATGTAAATGCTAAGATATTACAAAGTGCTTGGATCCTTCAGGTTTTTTTTTCTCCTAGTAGAGTTTCCTTGTCAATTAATAATTTAGATTTCATGAGATTCTTGACATTTATTAGTTGTTACATGGTTAGAAGCATCTATTTGATTTGAAAAAGAGTAACTCTTGATGAGTATAATATGTAACAATCTATTTTAATATATATATAGGCCGTATTTTGAATAGAAAGAGTAAAATCATAGTAATAAAAAAATTAAAACACAATAAATTGTATAAAATTACAGAAATCATTACTCATACTGTATTTATCTTTAGGTTATTCTGTTGGATATGTATATTGTTGCTCCTACTTTCTTGGATTTACAGGATGTATTACAGAAAGTTTCTTGGATTTTAAAATATACAGAGTGATAAATAATTTCCTATAAAATTTATTTCATAATAATTTTGTTCACGCATTAAATATCATTTAAAAATAGTTCAACCATACAAAGTAATTTCGTTTTAACTTCATAACAATTACTTAAGGTTAGGTTAGTAGGATACATTTGCACCTTTACACCATAATGTAGGCTTCTAGGAAAAGCCAGTCATTGGAACTAGTTGGCAACTATAATGCACCTATGTATCTTCAGGGATACTATCTGCAAATATTAGATTCAGGTCAATGATTCCTATAACAATTGTGTTACCTTTCATCTGGAATTAATTTGGTCAAACAATTTTGAATCCAATTCAGTAGTTAGCCGTTTAGTTTGCATGTAAAAAACTAGGCATAAACTGGTTTTAAACCAATTTTTAAGCTTTACAAAAAAATATATCTCAAGAATAATAATGTGTCGCACTTAAAAAATGCCATTTTATAAAAATTCAATCTACTTAGCAGTCTAATTAATTTGTTTTACTGTATGTTTTTATAAGGTTTATTTTTTAAATTTTATATTATTATATTTTTTAATGCATTTTTACAATATTTCACTGATAATCACAGTATCTCCAGTAAAAAGTAAGCTACGTAAATTATTAGTTCTCATTAAGATGTACAGATGATTGAGTTAGAAATATAAATTGCAATACATTCAAAAATTACAATCTTAAAAACAAAGGGTTCTAAAATGTTTTACACACTATTAGTAGGCCTACATTAGCTGTAAAAGTGTTTTTGAATTTACAGTATTTAAACTCTTTACAGCTGATACTAAAATGGAAGTCTTTCTTTCAAATAGTTTGTGTTCGTTTATGGGAAATAATCTAACTCGTGATTAGGCTACTCTTAAGCACTCGTTTTCAAAAATTTGTATAATGGAGTTCTACCATTACAGGTTTTATGAAGAATATTTTATGATAAAACCAAGTGCTTTCCTTTATTTATTTCACATTTATAGTTATTTGTTGTGTTATTTATGTTAGGTTGGTTTGGCTTATTTAACCTATAAAAAATTGATATTATAGAAAATTTAAAAATTAATTACTATACTTCGTTCACAAAATTTAGTCGGTTTATGGGAAGAAATTTATCCCTTCCACTTGATCATCCCTTTAAAACAGCTCACAGCTGAGGTTTTCAATCAGCTGCGACATGTAGTAAATAAAGTAGTGGGGGATTTCCCCTCAAACAGCCTAACTTTTGCAACAAATAGACTATAAATAGCCAATAACCTGAATCATTTGTAAACTAATTATTCTGTAGTTAAAGCTTCATATGTACGTATATTTATAATTTTGTAGTCAGTTCATTATTTATTCCGCTTTTTGCAATGTTTGCAAAAACTTAGGTGCAACTAAAAAAAGCTTAACTAAAACTTTCATATTACAATCTGTTTTACATTATGCTTCATAATCATTCAACGAGGTATAGGTATCCAGTTGATAGAATAATTCCACGTTATGTTAATATTTTAAATAGTTTAGTTGTACAAGTCACAGTCACACTATGTATAGGCCTCAAAAGACTAGATTGAAAACAAAAGTAAACTAAGGACAATAATAAAATTAGATGAATTTGATGCCGCAAAGCATGATGCGTCCTTAGATAGGAGTATCTTCGTAAATCTAGTTCTATAGCTTGTATCATTGACTATTATAGTCAATGCTTAATTGTATCTACCGATAGTATCGACTGACTGCGCCGACGCGCTGATAGTGAGACGCGCGCGTGTATGGGTCAGATGTACGCAGGCGCACCAGCTTCCAAGCATCCGTGTCATTGGCGGATTGTAAATGTAGAACGCCGTTATTCTCGTCTCCGCACGTCTTATATATCTGTGTTCGCTTCACTTTCGCTATAGTCCACATTTCATGGCCATTGTCGATTGATTTCATATTAGTTGTGTTAAAGTGAAAACAATGTTCTTATAAACAAACGATCAGGATCAGCCCACTTGAGTTTACGACAGAGAGAAAATATAAACAAAGCAATACCGTACGAAGGCTTTAAGTTCTACGACATGGGCGTACTCTCTATCAGAACAAATATGGATATCACACATATTATTTTGAGTGTGTGTGTGTGTGTGCACATCTGCTTGTTTACGTAGCCAATATATTTTTCAAAAAAAAAAAACTTTCCATTTTACTTTCAAAATCGACTTTAATATAAATACTACATTCAACTTTAAACTCTATTTTCAATCAGGGATTTTGTTAGAGTTAAGACAAAGTATAATAATATAAATGCTTATGATACATAGTTTCCCCAACGGCTGTTTTTTTATAAAAAATAAACTATTCACACTAAAAACTATTTTTGTTAAAAGTGTGTGAATATTATATTTTTTATTATGATACAACATAGCTAGTCTATTCTTTTTCGTGGTCTATTGTAATACAAATTGTATATTAAACTCGTAATACGTTCAATGAACGACTACAAGCCCTATCTCAATGGTCAATTTTCAATTTTCATGATTCCCGAACTCTCGCGAACCATTCAGACGACGGAACAAAAAATAATTTTTCAAACCGACACATTACCATCGTGATATCAGGCTATAATAATCCTAGACTTATTTGCCTCAAAAATTTTATGAAACAAAAATGTTGTTAATCTTTTGTCAATATAACACAGTGATCACAGTTATAACACAGTTAAATGAAAGCAGGAAAATTCGTATAATGTTGAGTAGACTATAGCCTAAAGCAAAAGATAAAAGATTAATGCACTGACTGTTACTGAGAGAAGTATAATCTAATACCACGAGTTTGGTTTATAGTCTACACCATTATTTCGTAATGGGTTTTATTTGATAAAGAATAGAGTGGTTTTAAAGAACTCATCTGGAATACAACGATTTACATAAAGCATGTATTGAAACTAGTTTAGTATAGACGTATTTATTGTCAGCATAATTTAATTTTAAAAGTCGTGCTATTATAGGCCTAAAATAAATCCGAAAAGTAACCTCTCCACAAACATAAGGCACGATATGTAGATTTCAATCCCCAACCACAACTACAAGATAACAATAATTGGACATCTCGAAACCGAAATAAATTTAATTTATTTTGGAACTCGCGTAGGAGTAAGCGATTATAAAACGATTTTGTTCAAACATGTATCGAGTATGGAAACTTAGCCAGAACCGGACACACGGGTTTTGGCCGATTTCACTGATGAAGGCCGTCAAATATAGGTCAAATTGTTCGTAGAAGCGTAAACCGGAATTGAATTTTGTTGGGAAAAGTTGTATTTACATCTCACACATAGTTAAAAACAAAACATCTTTTTACAGCCGACTTCAATGGCATAGTTATATGTTTAATAACCACTTATTATGAAAAAGCAAAACTGTTTTATCGCATTTCTAATTTGAAAATCAACATCGTGATAATCTGAAGTTAATTTGGAATGTACATTTAAATAATTAGCTTAATATACAGTTTATTGCAACACCGTGGTAAACATTTCTATTTCCAACGCAGACATGGTGTTGATTGTTGACACAACTTGAATTTGTGAGTTAAACATGGCAAAATAGAATTTATATAATGGCTTGTGACATTCTCTTTGGACTTTAAAATTCAAGAACGGTTGTGTTAAATTAATGATGGTGGTTCAAGTGAATTCAAATAAATGAGTAACTAGTAACTCGATTGAAAGAATATTTTCCTTTGGAAGCAAGTCAGTGAGAACGTTCGGATTGCAGGCAAGATGTGTGTTGGCATATGATCATTGCATTGTTGTCTAGGGATTTGCTAAACTGTTTTTTTCGCGCTAAACCGTTTAGCTGTAAACAGTTGCCAGCGCTAAACTGTTTAATTAAACAGTTGTCAAACCACAGTTTGGCTGAGACCCTACTGTTAGCCGCCAACCACCAGAAAACTGCTTATAGTAGTGAATCTGTTGTCAGTAAAGTTATGTTGCTCAAAACT